ACCAAAACCCGGCGGTCCAAGTCTTTCTCAGATTGGATCGTTCCCACTGCCGGCCCAAGAGACTAGGCCTTTATGGGGAGGAAATTAAAAGAGCTGGGCTGAACGCATTTGAAAAGGAGAACTTTATTTACAACACATAAGGGGCTGGCCGATAGCCAACTGCCTAAGCTCTTGCTCAGTAGCTTATACACCATTTATCAATAAGCCACGTCAAGTTTGCTTTTCTCTCTCTTTAACTCTTTAAACCTTATCAGTCCTAGGGACTCCCAGCAAATATCTAGAGTTTTTTCACTACATTCATTTATCTGCATCTAGCCCTTACATTTAGCCTCACAATGAAGTGTTTTACCATTTTATTTTCAGGACAACCAGGGCTACAAGTAGAACACAAAACTATTTGACATAAACAGTTGCATTCATGAGTTTTATTGACAAATGTCAAGCAGAAACCTGATAGAAAATGAATTTATAAGAATGCTGTAAGTACAAAAATTGTTTGCTCAGTAGAAAATGAATATCCAACTAGTCAGTGACAACTGTGTGGTGTTTGTGACAGCAACTATGCGAGCTTATTACAGTATTGTAGACACTATGTCCTGGGATTTACTATAATTTTATATGTAGAAGAAACCTTACCTTCTAATGATTTGTTTGACTTGTGAGCGTCATCGAACAAAACATAGAGCAAACATGCGCGTTTGTGAGAGTCTCCGCTTTTCATAGTGGGCTCATAATAATATGTAGCTCAATTGGATTTTACGGACGTTTTTGTGAGAAGATCAGTTTTCAGGATCCGGCCTTATCTCACAAACCGCTCTAGCTCACCCCCTGTTAATCACACAGGCTAATGGTTGGTTTCAGCTGAAGCAGAAGAACACAAATAGACAAATCTGTAGCTCAAACACACACTGTTTAAGGGGTTGGAAGCCCTAAATCATGCCGGTGTGATTGTGGGACTCAAAGTGTGCAGGCCAGGGCCACAGGAACTGCTTGCCAATATATCAAAATAGCCCAACCCTTGAAGAAACCGAAGTAACTCTCCATTTGCATCATCATCTGAAGACAATTATTACTTTTTAATAGTTACTTGTCCAAAAGCAATGCCATTCACAGGTGATGGAATATTCTTGTTAGCATGGTTGCTGTGCTTCACTGTAGGAATAGAAGGATAACTTATTAAATCTCTCTCTCTCAAGGGTTAGGTCTGAGTGGACCTGGGTCTAAAACAGGTTAAAGAAAAAAAATTTTTATATACATATATATATATATATATATATAATTTATCTCTCTGGGTGTCTCATTAAAGGCTCTATATCTAATGAGATTAGGTCCTGGGGATTAATGGTGTGGCTAATTGATAGACACACAGCCGGGGAGGATTAAAATCCTTCCATTCCCCCGCCGCTTTTTGGGGCCTTAGCTGACTAATTGAAATCACAGGGATGGACACAAATACACGTTGTGACCCAGCTCTGCAGTGTACAGGGAGTTAGAACCGTCGTGAGGGAGAAGGGTCCTTGACATTGACATTAAAACACTGTTTGTTCTCCTTGCCCTCCAACACAGAGAAAAGATGATAGCCAGCAAAAACACACACAGAGAATAGTACAGTCAGTCACTCAGTGAGGGTGCAAAATAACCAGTGGCCAAGTTTAAGATAAAAATAGTATCAAGGGTATACAGTGGGGGAAAAAAAGTATTTAGTCAGCCACCAATTGTGCAAGTTCTCCCACTTAAAAAGATGAGAGAGGCCTGTAATTTTCATCATAGGTACACGTCAACTATGACAGACAAATTGAGAGAAAAAAATCCAGAAAATCACATTGTAGGATTTTTTATGAATTTATTTGCAAATTATGGTGGAAAATAAGTATTTGGTCAATAACAAAAGTTTCTCAATACTTTGTTATATACCCTTTGTTGGCAATGACACAGGTCTTCACAAGGTTTTCACACACTGTTGCTGGTATTTTGGCCCATTCCTCCATGCAGATCTCCTCTAGAGCAGTGATGTTTTGGGGCTGTCGCTGGGCAACACAGACTTTCAACTCCCTCCAAAGATTTTCTATGGGGTTGAGATCTGGAGACTGGCTAGGCCACTCCAGGACCTTGAAATGCTTCTTACGAAGCCACTCCTTCGTTGCCCGGGCGGTGTGTTTGGGATCATTGTCATGCTGAAAGACCCAGCCACGTTTCATCTTCAATGCCCTTGCTGATGGAAATCTCATGATACATGGCCACATTCACTCTTTCCTTTACACGGATCAGTCGTCCTGGTCCCTTTGCAGAAAAACAGCCCCAAAGCATGATGTTTCCACCCCCATGCTTCACAGTAGGTATGGTGTTCTTTGGATGCAACTCAGCATTCTTTGTCCTCCAAACACGACGAGTTGAGTTTTTACCAAAAAGTTCTATTTTGGTTTCATCTGACCATATGACATTCTCCCAATCCTCTTCTGGATCATCCAAATGCACTCTAGCAAACTTCAGATGGGCCTGGACATGTACTGGCTTAAGCAGGGGGACACGTCTGTCACTGCAGGATTTGAGTCCCTGGCGGCGTAGTGTGTTACTGATGGTAGGCTTTGTTACTTTGGTCCCAGCTTTCTGCAGGTCATTCACTAGGTCCCCCCGTGTGGTTCTGGGATTTTTGCTCACCGTTCTTGTGATCATTTTGACCCCACGGGTTGAGATCTTGTGTGGAGCCCCAGATCGAGGGAGATTATCAGTGGTCTTGTATGTCTTCCATTTCCTAATAATTGCTCCCACAGTTGATTTCTTCAAACCAAGCTGCTTACCTATTGCAGATTCAGTCTTCCCAGCCTGGTGCAGGTCTACAATTTTGTTTCTGGTGTCCTTTGATAGCTCTTTGGTCTTGGCCATAGTGGAGTTTGGAGTGTGACTGTTTGAGGTTGTGGACAGGTGTCTTTTATACTGATAACAAGTTAAAACAGGTGCCATTCATACAGGTAACGAGTGGAGGACAGAGGAGCCTCTTAAAGAAGAAGTTACAGTTCTGTGAGAGCCAGAAATCTTGCTTGTTTGTAGGTGACCAAATACTTATTTTCCACCATAATTTGCAAATAAATTCATTAAAAATCCTACAATGTGATTTTCTGGATGTTTTTCTCTCAATATGTCTGTCATAGTTGACGTGTACCTATGATGAAAATTACAGGCCTCTCTCATCTTTTTAAGTGGGAGAACTTGCACAATTGGTGGCTGACTAAATATTTTTTCCCCCCACTGTATATTCCAGGAGGGTGTAATCTCAGAAAGTTGGAGTGAAGAACACTGATGGTTGAACATGAACAAGGTAGAAATAAGTAAGGTGCCACATTTTCAAAACATGTCTCATTTATTTTCTAAAGCACATATCCAGTATCTAGATGAATGAAGAAAATAATTCAGATACACTGAATAATAGAATAACTATCAGCAGGCATGGCTGTTTAACCCTTCCACAGTTTCAAGTTCAGAGGCCGACAGAAATGCGTTCGTCAAAGACACAAAGAGGGAGGGCTGCATTTGACATTTTAAAAAACAGAACTATAACAAAGCTTTCTTAATTCTTAAAAAAGAACCAGCATTATTTTGTTTTGAAAAGGATAAAGATAAACTGAAAGAAACCTACAGCATCTTGACCAAAATTAGAAAAGAAACACGCACACATTGAAAATGGCCGGGCCAAAACGTCATTCAGCCCATTGAAGAGCTAGAGCAGCAACTGTTTTGTTGTTAACACTTCAAAAATAGGTATCTTACAGCATTTTATTTTTTGAATGTCTTTTTACAGAGTATATTCATATATTTTCCGCTGACAATTTTTTACATTCTCACCACATAAGAACAAGTGCGTTGAGTAAAACATTTTGGAAAAAAAATCATGCACCTTTTAATAGTTTTGTTGACCTAAAAAATGGGAATGTTCAAGGCGAGAAAATCCTTTCAATGCTTAATTTTCAGTGCCTTCTTTCCAAGCCATTTAAAGTCGTACTGTCTCATACTGTCTCATTACTCAGATCATGCCTATATAAGTTTTACAGTGTGAAAAGCAACACAAAACCGTACAGGGCAGGCAAGCGTCCAAACGTAAATGCTCCTAGACTGAGGACTGAGTTCACAGAGGAAAGGCAGGCATTCTCTGTTTGTTAGAAAAACCCCACATTTATAAAAACAACCACATCCACACACACACCCAATGTCAGTGTGTTGTTGTGTTGACCAGATGATGCTTGGGAAAGTCTTCGATCAGCCCAGTGATGTATCAGGTCTCACTGACAGAGGGTTGCTTTAGTAGTACTTCCCCAAAATGCTCCAAAAGGTCAGAGTTCAACTGATCTTAACCTGCAGCCAGCCCTCGTTGTGAGGCTCACTTCTCTGTGTTACTGCTGGGTACAGTAGTTCTTTCTACACAGAGAGAAGAGGAGAGAGGGCCATATGAAGGTTTGGGGGCATGGGGGTTACAAGGGAGTGTGCCTCTCGAAACCACTCCAATGGCAAACAACCCTGAGATAGCAGGAGTCCAATACAAAACACACCACAAAAGGCACTTTATAAAACGACAGTGCTTCTGTTCTAAGGAAATTCAAGTTGAGAGAGAAAGTGTCTTTCTGTACACTCTGTTCAGCGCTAAGCCAAAAAGAGACGGGTTTGTCCTGTTCCTTTTTATCATCCAAGCCAAACGAGCATCATCACTCCTGTCTCTCAGAAGTGCCTTGTGTCCCCAGATAGCTCGAGGTTCAGTAGAGAGAGAAACAAAACACACTAAAAACTTGCCACTAAGAAAGCCAGAATAGAGTAGCAGCAGAACCTGGTAAGGTCACAGGCCATGTTCTAGAACAGTCTCTAACGTCCCGTTTTGTCCTCACTGGTCTACTATGGAAATATCTCATGTGGTACTGCTTGGGCCCTGCCCGTGGTTTCGAGGACCATCTGACCCCGACCCCAACCCCAACCCCTCCCCCCGGACTCCCTCCGTACCCCACCCCACCCCTCTCTCAGTCGTCGTCTCCTCCGCCGTAGAGGTCAGCCAGCTTCTTGAAGCGGGGGCCCCAGTCGTTGAGGTAGTCGTAGTCCTGGTCTCCTGAGCTTGAGGAGTTGAGGGAGCTGACAGAGCCGGCCGTGGAGCCGCTGCCCTCGTAGTCAAACACCAGCAGGGAGTCATAGGGCGGGGCTGTGGGGTCGTTGTCTGCCGCTCTCAGACCCTGAGAGAGAGAGATAGAGAGGATTAGTTAGCACTGAAGAGAGGAAGGCAAAAGACTGATATCAATGGCTTGCTACTGTGTTTGAAAACTTTTGAAAAGCTATCACTGTTTAGTACAGGAACGTGAACATTAACACACTTGTATGATCTTTCGAGATGAACAATGTCTAATAGTTAACATACGTCGTTGATGAAGTCTCCGATATCTCCGGGATGAGGCAGGCTGGGTCTGACGGGGTACTGGGACTCAGCGATAACAGGCCTCTCGTCCACCCTGCGCACCCCCGCTGGTTTACAGATAATGTGGTCCAGAGCCTCGGGCTGCTGCAGCTGGCTTAGGTCATAGTCCTGCAACACCGGGCAAGGAAGGAGACTCAGTGTAAGTGTAAGAATGGCGGAGAAAGTGTCTGAGTGCAATCACAGTATTTGTAAACATTACATCATCATCATCTTCATCATCGGTGTGGTCATCATCGTCATCATCATGACTAAAAGTATGGCTTTGTTGTTAAATGAAGTCTTAGTGCATGTGTAATGTGTATATATCACTGACCTGGTCCTCCTCTCCTCCTCCCTCCTCATCGTATTTCAGGATATTGTCTCTGACGTCATCCTCTGGGTCAATCAGCAGTGGCTTGGCCTGACGCTCCTTCTCCCTCCGCTTCATCCACATCACAAACACCAGCACCATGACTGCAACACACACAGAACAGCACATCAGCAGGGTAGACAGAGGAGTGCTGGGAATATGGATACATTAGAAGTTGTGTGTGTAGTATGTTGACACAGACAATGACGCCTACAGCACAGGTGTGTGTGTGTGTGTGTGTGAATATATAAGTGTGTATAAGTGTGTATTATACTCACTAAGCAGTATGATGATACAGATGAGTATGGCTATGATCGCTCCGGTCCCCAGTCCAGCGGCAGCTACAGCTCCGGTGGTAGTACAGTCTCCGTTGTCGTCACACGGACATACCTTGACCTTTATAATGGACCTGTTAGAGAGGGGCGGGTTCCCAGAGTCCGACACGATGATGGGAACATCATACACCCCTGCATCCAGGTAGGGAATCCTCAGTCTCAGCTGGGCATAGTCACCTGCACATAATCACACAGACACAATGTCCTGTCACTGCTTGAAGCTCACAGTATCAGATAGAAGTGGTTTAGAATATAAACAGTTGACCACTGGAGTTTTACTGTAGTAATCTATAGCCATGTGAGCAGTACTGCAGAGATACAGTACATGCAAATACCTACTGAATAATACACAGGCAGTAACTATAGCTAAATACACACGCACCTACAGCACAGCATATCCATTCAAACTAAAACCAGAGTATACTTTTTTTTTTATAGCACCTCACAAACAACACAAAAACACAGAAACAAAATGCACACTATACAACACATTCCCCGAGGTGATCAACATATGGTTTCCAAATTTCGTCAAACACTTCCGGTTTTTGTTTAGCTTTATAATATACAAAATCCAACAGTATGTAGCTAGATAGTTCAGTCCTCCAGTTTGTTATTGAGGGTGAATATGAGGCGTTCTTATTTATGGCTATACATTTTTTTGTTGCAGCAATTAATAATAATATAATATAATATGCCATTTAGCAGACGCTTTTATCCAAAGCGACTTAGTCATGTGTGCATACATTTTTACGTATGGGTGGTCCCGGGGATCGAACCCACTACCCTGGCGTTACAAGCGCCATGCTCTACCAATTGAGCTACAGAGGACCATAATTAGACCTAGATTACAAAACACCAATATTTACATTTCCCAACAGGTGGAAATGTATATAAATTCCTAGACACAATGAAATGATAGCACATACATTATCCCAAAATGTCAGTTTATCACAGAACCACAGCATATGTAATAGGGTTCCTTTGTGCTTTTTGCATCTCCAACCAAAATGTGACATTTCTGGGTGCGTTACATGCATTCTGTCAGTCCTATGAATTATCTTAAATAATCATAAGGTATTACATTTAGAGTTGAAGTCGGAAGTTTACATACACCTTAGCCAAATACATTTAAACTCTGTTTTTCATAATTCCTGACATTTAATCCTAGTAAAAATTCCCTGTTTTAGGTCAGTTAGGATCACCACTTTTTTTAAGAATGTGAAATGTCAGAATAATAGTAGAGAGAATGATTTATTTAAGCTTTTATTTCTTTCATCACATTCCCAGTGGGTCATAAGTTTACATACACTCAATTAGTATTTGGTAGCATTGCCTTAAAATTGTTTAACTTGGATCAAACGTTTTGAGTAGCCTTCCACAAGCTTCCCACAATAAGTTGGGTGAATTTTGGCCCATTCCTCCTGACAGAGCTGGTGTAACTGAGTCAGGTTTGTAAGCCTCCTTGCTCGCACACGCCTTTTTCAGTTCTGCCCACAAATGTTCTATAGGATTGAGGTCAGGGCTTTGTGATGGCCACTCCAATACCTTGACTTTGTTGTCCTTCAGCCATTTTGCCATTACTTTGGAAGTATGCTTGGGGTCATTGTCCATTTGGAAGACCCATTTGCGACCAAGATTTAACTTCCTGACTGAAGTCTTGAGATGTTGCTTCAATATATCCACATAATTTTCCTTCCTCATGATGCCATCTGTTTTGTGAAGTGCACCAGTCCCTCCTGCAGCAAAGCACCCCCACAGCATGATGCTGCCACCCCTGTGCTTCACGTTGGGATGGTGTTCTTCGGCTTGCAAGCAGCGCCCTTTTTCCTCCAAACATAACGATGGTCATTATGGCCAAACAGGTCTACTTTTGTTTCTCCAAAAAGTACGATCTTTGTCCCCATGTGCAGTTGCAAACCGTAGTCTGGCTTTTTTATGGCGGTTTTGGAGCAGTGGCTTCTTCCTTGCTGAGCGGCCTTTCAGGTTATGTAGATATAGGACTCGTTTTACTATGGATATTGATACTTTTGTACCTGTTTCCTTCAGCATCTTCACAACGTTCTTTGCTGTTGTTCTGGGATTGATTTGCACTTTTCACACCAAAGTACGTTAATCTCTAGGAGACAGAACGCATCTCCTTCCTGAGCGGTATGACGGCTGCGTGGTCCCATGGTGTTTATACTTGCGTACTATTGTTTGTACAGATGAACTTGGTACCTTCAGGCATTTGGAAATTGCTCCCAAGGATGAACCAGACTTGTGGAGGTCTACAATCTTTTTCTGAGGTCTTGGCTGATTTCTTTTGATTTTCCCATGATGTCAAGCAAAGAGGCACTGAGTTTGAAGCTAGGCCTTGAAATACATCCACAGGTACACCTCCAATTGACTCAAATGATGTCAATAAGCCTATCAGAAGCTTCTAAAGCCATGACATCATTTTCTGGAATTTTCCAAGCTGTTTAAAGGCACAGTCAACTTAGTGTATGTAAACTTCTGACCCACTGGAATTGTGATACAGTGAATTATAAGTGAAATAATCTGTCTGTAAACAATTGTTGGAAAAATTACTAACCGACTTGCCAAAACTATAGTTTGTTAACAATAAATTTGTGGAGTGGTTGAAAAATGAGTTTGAATGACTCCAACCTAAGTGTATGTAAACTTCCGACTTCAACTGTATAAGGCAAGTGTAAAACAGTCAATTTGAGTGTTGAGGTCTTTCCATTCCAAATAAAGTTGGAGAGCAGGCCATTTATTTTATTAAAAAGGTTGGATGGAATTGAAACTGGCAGGGCCTGGAATAAATACATCAATCTTGGTCATATTTTCATTTTGATTATGTTGACTCTACCTAACATAGAAATTGGGAGAGATCTCCAACTCTGAACATCGGATTCAATCTTATCTATTAAAGGAAAGTAATTGATTTTGTATACCTCCTCCAGATTGCATGGTATCAGTACACCCAGGTATTTCATATGTGACTTTGTCCATGTCCACTTAAATGTACTTTCTATGCTTGAGAAGTATAATTAGAAATTGGCATTATTTCAGTTTTCTCCCAATTCACTTTAAATACAGCACCATATGTGTCCAACAGTAGTAAAATAAATGACAGAGAATGTTCTGGTTCAGATAAATAAAGTAAAATGTCATCTGCATACAATGATATTACATGTTGATCTCCACCAATCTCTATGCCCAGGATTGAGCCATGAGTTCTAATTACTGATGCTAATTGATTCAGAGATCTGTCCATTTGTTTGTATAGATGTTTTGGGGGATTTGTACAATAGCTCAATCCAGGAAATAAATAACGGACCAAAATCAAACTTTATTAAGACAGTCACCAAATATGCCCATTCCACCCTATCGAATGCTTTTTTTAGCAGCTATTGGTACTGCCACTTTTGGAGCATTCAAGTTCTTGGTATGATGGATTATATTGAAAAAATGGCAGAGATTGTCTGAAGATATCCTGTTCTGTATAAACTACGGTTTGATCTGAGTGAATCAACTTTTGTGTTACTGTTTCTATGCGAAAAGCCAATACTTTACCAATGATTTTGTAATCCACATTCATGAATGGCGGAAAGATCCGCATGACAATCGATCCTTATCTTTCTTTTTAAGTAGGGTGATTGTAGCCAAACATAGTGACTGGGGAAGTACATTTTTCTCTAGAGCTGCTGTGAGCATAAGTAACATAGGCTTTAGTCATTTGGAATGGAAGTGTCTATACATTTCACTGGGAATCCATCATTACCAGGAGATTTCCTATTTTGTAGATTATTGATGGACTCCAACAATTCACCTGGGGTAATGTTTCTATCCATATTCATTTTCTCAGGTTCACTTATAATTAAAATGGCCTTATTAAGAAAATTGTATATATCCTCCTTTTAACTTTTGTTTTAAGATTGATACAGTTTGTGATCAAATATTTTAAATACTGAGTTGATTTCAGAAGGATCGATTATTATGCTACCATCTGGGGTTTGAATGCTATGGATGGTACAGTATGTTTCTCTTCCTCTTTCTTAATTTACCAAGCAAGTATTTTCCCTGCACTTTCACCTTGCTCAACATATTGTTGCTAGGATTTCATGGAAGCAATCTCTGCAGATCAGGTGTTTATTGTGTTACATTCGAGCTTCAAAGTGTTCAACTGTTGAAGGGTGTTAGCATTTCTATCTAAACTGTGTTTTGTTGAAGGGTGTTAGCATTTCTATCTAAACTGTGTTTTGTTGAAGGGTGTTAGCATTTCTATCTAAACTGTGTTTTCCTTCTAAGCCGTGGATTTTCTGTTCTAGTATTTCTAATTCTTTATGGGTATTATTTTTCTTATGTGAAAGGTAAGACATGATACAACCTCTTGTATATGCTTTAAGAGCTTCTCAGATGGGAGTTGGGAGTACTTCATTACTTAAATGTATTTCCAAAAACATGTACAGTACCAGTCAAAAGTTTGGACACACCTACTCATTCAAGGGTTTTTCTTATTTTTACATTGTAGAATAATAGTTAAGACATTCAAACTATGAAATAACACATATGGAATCATGTAGTAACCGAAAAAGTGTTAAACAAATCAAAATATATTATATATTTGAGATTCTTTAAATAGCCACCCTTTGCCTTGATGACAGCTTTGCGCACTCTTGGCATTCTCTCAACCAGCTTCACCTGGAATGCTTTTTCAACAGTCTTGAAGGAGTTCCCACATATGCTGAGCACTTGTTGGATGCTTTTCCTTCACTCTGCCGTCCGACTCATCCCAAACCATCTCAATTGGGTTGTGGTCAGGGGATTGTGGAGGCCAGGTCATCTGATGCAGCACTCCATCACTCTCCTTCTTGGTAACATAGCCCTTACACAGCCTGGAGGTGTGTTGGGTCATTGTCCTGTTGAAAAACAAATGATACTCCCACTAAGCCCAAACCAGATGGGATGGTGTATCGCTGCAGAATGCTGTGGTAGCCATGCTGGTTAAGTGTGCCTTGAATTCTAAATAAATCACAGACAGTGTCACCAGCAAAGCACCCCCACACCATAACACCTCCTCCTCCATGCTTTACGGTGGGAACTACACATGCAGCGATCATCCGTTCACCCACATCGTGTCTCACAAAGACACAGCGGTTGGAACCAAAAATCTCCAATTTGGACTCCAGACCAAATAACACATTTCCACCGGTATAACGTCCATTAGTCGTGTTTCTTGGCCCAAGCAGGTCTCTTCATCTTATTGGTGTCCTTTAGTAGTGGTTTCTTTGCAGCAATTCGACCTTGAAGTCATGATTCACACAGTCCCCTCTGAACAGTTGACGTTAAGATGTGTCTCAATTTTCCGTATTTGCTGACCTTCATGTCTTAAAGTAATGATGGACTGTTGTTTCTCTTTGCTTATTTGAGCTGTTCTTGCCAAATATGGACTTGGTCTTTTACCAAATAGGGCTATCTTCTGTATATCCCCCCCCCCCCCCCCCCCCCCCCCCCCCCTTTCATTGTCACAACACAACTGATTGGCTCAAATGCATTAAGGAACTAATTCCACAAATTAACTTTTAAGAAGGCACACCTGTTAATTGAAATGCATTCCAGGTGACTACCTCATGAAGCTGGTTGAGAGAATGCCAAGAGTGTGCAAAGCTGTCATCAAGGCAAAGGGTGGCTGTTTGAAAAATCTCAAATATAAAATATATTTGTTTAACACTTTGTTGGTTACTACATGATTCCATATGTGTTATTTCATAGTTTTGATGTATTCACTATTATTCTACAATGTAAAAAATAGTACAAATAAAGAAAAACCATTGAATGAGTAGGTGTGTCCAAACCTTTGACTGGTTGTGTAATAAATATATTATTATTATGATCATCATTATGATTATAATTAAGGAGTCCTGTCTAAGGCTGGTTCTACCTTCTGAGATAGATGAGACCCTTCTAAAGTATATATGAATAATTTGTCCTGGCCAGCGTGATAGGCCTACCTCTTGTTTTCCAAAGGAAAGGAATAGGTTATCCCTCTCAGGGTCAATAACATGAGAAAAACAGCATATAAAGCACTTGCCATCACTGTGTTAATTGTGAATAAAATGAATTTGATTATTTAGGCATTAGGGATCATTATAGTATATTAAATAGAACAATGTGTTAAACTCTCCATATAATTCTCCAATTAAATAAATGCAAACAGATGTAGGCCTATAACCACTGGAGTAGCCTACAGTTCCGTTGTACTGCACACAACCACATGTGGGGCTCACTCGTCTTGACCCACCGGGGGACAGAGCGGGCGGATCACTAAGAGCAGGGTGGTATAATGACTTGTAACATCAATGCAACATCCGTCCGCTCTGGGCACTGTTAAAGGCAAAGCGAGTGCCATTTATTCACTTGTTTTTCCAGAGTGTATCAGCTACATGTTCAGTTGGCCTAGCTACATTTCATGTACATTCCACATTGGGATTCAGTTAATGAATTCATTTCGATATAATTGTCCAACAAAGAGCTGAAAATAATGATTGAAAGATGCATAATTGTGGGCTTCGTGCACATAGCCTGCTTGTTTGTCACTCTCTTTTATAAACTCAGCAATTGTCCATGTTTCTTCAAAATTCATTCAACCAAAACATTAACATTATTCAGTGCACTTTCTATGTGAGAATAAAAAAGGAAAGGATAGTCAACACGTGATGATATCATGTTGCCCACATTGATAAGACATTTTTCAATTCATATATCAATTTTCCCGTTATGATGCCTTAATTCGGGCAACAGTAAATTAAATGTTTTAAAAAGAAGGAAGGAAGAGAGCAACGGAAATAAAAGTACTGTGTGTTTACAATTTCAGCTTCTTAGGATGTATGACATTTCATCTCTCCCAGTCTTTTTTCACATATGGGCCATTTAATTTATTCCCACCCACTCAGGCTTTTATAGCCTATCGGCTGGGGAGCATTCAAAAATAATTGTCCAGATCATAGCAATCATCATGTGTCTTGTTCACTTGTTATTTAAATAAATAGTTGATGGCTATAGCCTACCAATTAATGGTTTGCCATTTCTGCTGCATAGTCAATAGTCATTAAAATGTTATTCATTTACAGTGGGGAAAAAAAGTATTTAGTCAGCCACCAATTGTGCAAGTTCTCCCATTTAAAAAGATGAGAGAGGCCTGTAATTTTCATCATAGGTACACGTCAACTATGACAGACAAATTGAGAGAGAAAAAAATCCAGAAAATCACATTGTAGGATTTTTAATGAATTTATTTGCAAATTATGGTGGAAAATAAGTATTTGGTCACCTACAAACAAGCAAGATTTCTGGCTCTCACAGACCTGTAACTTCTTCTTTAAGAGGCTCCTCTGTCCTCCACTCGTTACCTGTATTAATGGCACCTGTTTGAACTTGTTATCAGTATAAAAGACACCTGTCCACAACCTCAAACAGTCACACTCCAAACTCCACTATGGCCAAGACCAAAGAGTTGTCAAAGGACACCAGAAACAAAATTGTAGACCTGCACCAGGCTGGGAAGACTGAATCTGCAATAGGTAAGCAGCTTGGTTTGAAGAAATCAACTGTGGGAGCAATTATTAGGAAATGGAAGACATACAAGACCACTGATAATCTCCCTCGATCTGGGGCTCCACGCAAGATCTCACCCCGTGGGGTCAAAATGATCACAAGAACGGTGAGCAAAAATCCCAGAACCACACGGGGGGACCTAGTGGATGACCTGCAGAGAGCTGGGACCAAAATAACAAAGCCTACCATCAGTAACACACTACGCCGCCAGGGACTCAAATCCTGCAGTGCCAGACGTGTCCCCCTGCTTAAGCCAGTACATGTCCAGGCCCGTCTGAAGTTTACTAGAGTGCATTTGGATGATCCAGAAGAGGATTGGGAGAATGTCATATGGTCAGATGAAACCAAAATAGAACTTTTTGGTAAAAACTCAACTCGTCGTGTTTGGAGGACAAAGAATGCTGAGTTGCATCCAAAGAACACCATACCTACTGTGAAGCATGGGGGTGGAAACATCATGCTTTGGGGCTGTTTTTCTGCAAAGGGACCAGGACGACTGATCCGTGTAAAGGAAAGAATGAATGGGGCCATGTATCGTGAGATTTTGAGTGAAACCCTCCTTCCATCAGCAAGGGCATTGAAGATGAAACGTGGCTGGGTCTTTCAGCATGACAATGATCCCAAACACACCGCCCGGGCAACGAAGGAGTGGCTTTGTAAGAAGCATTTCAAGGTCCTGGAGTGGCCTAGCCAGTCTCCAGATCTCAACCCCATAGAAAATCTTTGGAGGGAGTAGAAAGTCTGTGTTGCCCAGCGACAGCCCCAAAACATCACTGCTCTAGACGAGATCTGCATGGAGGAATGGGCCAAAATACCAGCAACAGTGTGTGAAAACCTTGTGAAGACTTACAGAAAACGTTTGACCTGTGTCATTGCCAACAAAGGGTATATAACAAAGTATTGAAACTTTTGTTATTGACCAAATACTTATTTTCCACCATAATTTGCAAATAAATTCATAAAAAAATCCTACAATGTGATTTTCTGGATTTTTTTTCTCTCAAATTGTCTGTCATAGTTGACGTGTACCTATGATGAAAATTACAGGCCTCTCTCATCTTTTTAAGTGGGAGAACTTGCACAATTGGTGGCTGACTAAATACTTTTTTCCCCCACTGTAGACAGATCGCCTGAGTGGTGCTGTGATTGTCTTTCCAATAGGCATGTGAGTGAAGGCATTAACAACACATACCTTTCTCTTTTGTGTCTTTGATGTGGTGGGATGTAACAGTCCATCGTTCACCTCTTTTCAGTAGCCTAAACAGTTCAATAGTCCAGTGCCCCATCTGTCGTACATCTTCTGTTGAGAGGCTGTCCTGTAGTCTATACATTTCATTAATTGCCATTTCCACTGTTCTCCTTGTCCAGGTTATCCAGGAATCGGGTAGCTTCTTTTGCTGATTTCAGGGTGATGTGTCACCTCTCGGGCCGCCTGTTCGATGTGCTCGTTCAATTGTGGGAGCCCGTGTGACGTTCTTCTGGCCCAGTAGTTCTGGTATTACCTTTTCCAGGAATTCTTCCATTTCGGTTGTTACATGGCTTTCGGGGAAATATACGGAACGAAGATTTGAACAGCGACTGAAGTCCTCCATCCCGTTTTATCTTTCATTAAGCCCCGTAATTATGTATTTTTGTTCATCCACGGTTTTCTGGATCTTTTCCAGTGCGATTTTCTCCATAGTTAACCCGGTTTCAGCCTTCGCCACGCGTTTGCCCAGGTCAGTCATATCAGTGTAGATTTTTTGACATCATCTGATATTTTCTTCATCTGCTTGGACAGTTTCTCATTGCCAGTTCGAATTTCTATTAGTAGTATCTCTAAACTCACTTTAGTCGGTTCTTCAGCTACTTGGTCAATGGTCGCGTTGTTTCACTGTATTTGTTTGTCTCCACTTCTTGATCTAGTATTTGCCATAACATGTAGTTGCCAACATAACGTTTCAGTTATTTCTTGACTTTAGAGTCGAGTTATTTTCTATTTAAGAGGCATGCCAAACGGGAATGCCAAACGGATCACCTAGACCTGACTACCTCACGGTCTTATACCAAAAACATAGCCCTCAGTTGTATCGGATTGTTAAAAGAAATAGTGTCATAGATTAATCTGTAGGGGTGGCATCTTGTCTATCAGACCAGAGAGATGAATGGATGTGATCTGTCACAAAGCACACAGCTCATATGTCAACATGAGACAGAGCTGGGAGAATAGTGGCATGTACTGTAAGACCTCCATTATACCACAGTCCATCAGCCTGAGACCACACCATGCCATCTGTCACACAGCAGCAAACACACAGGGAGCCAGCATCCACACACACACATTAGACAATATAAAACAACAGAAAGCATCATACTGGGACAGTGTAGAGAGGAGGCTTCAGTATATGAACTCTGACACACTACACCTCTGGTAAAGATCTCATAATGGTAACACAGGCTAGCCGTGTCTTACCGCTTATGCGGGAGACGGTCCAGTTGCGTCGGACGCTAGGGGGGTAGGAAGGCAGCTCGAACACAAAAGGCCCCACGTGGGGGTCAGCGTCGGCGTCGGAGGCTGTGATGTTGACCCTGGAGCGGGGGCTGGCGCGTTCACACACCTGGGCCTCCTTGGGCATCAGCACTGGAGCGTTGTCATTCACATCTATCAGATGGATCTGTAGAGTACCTGTCCCACTGGCTGGGGGAGAGCCTGAGAGAGGGGGAAGGGGGTGGGAGAGGAGGGCGGAGGAGAGAAAGAGGAAAAAGAGAGACAGATGGGGGGAGGGGGGGAGGAGAGAAATATAGAGGGAAGAAAGTGAGAGAAATGTAATCAATTCGAGGAAGAGGGTAACTTCATGCATATACAGTACCTAAAAACCACTTTCATCTGAAGAGGAGAAATATAATAAAAATAGAAGACAGCAAAGGGACAGAGGGATGGGAAATGAAGGAGCTGAGAGAATATTGAGGGAGGGTTTGAGAGTGATGGAAGAATACAGCATGCATTTATTGTGAATGCTCCCAGTGATGACAGCCATAACAAATGAAACGGCACATAAATATTTCACTCTGTGTGAGTCTGGAGCTCAGCACTCTCAGAGGACACAGTTATGAAATGACTTTACTGGAAAGCACCACATATCTCCCTCACACAGCACACAGGGGCTGTTGTTAAAATGAGGAGAAACACACCCTAACCTACAATATGCTATGACAACAAACACATCCTAATGTACAGTCAGACTCTGACCCTATGACAACACACCCTAACCTACAATATGCTATGACAACAAACACATCCTAATGTACAGTCAGACTCTGACCCTATGACAACACTCCCTAACCTACAATATACTATGACAACAAACACATCCTAATGTACAGTCAGACTCTGACGCTATGACAACACACCCTAACCTACAGTCCGTGACAAAAAGACTAACAGCCTTGTATAGCTGACTGATTACCATGGAGTATTTTCTGCTAAGTAACGGATGCTGCACTCTCTGCATGAATGCAGTTCACCCAAGCTCATCACACTGAGGAGATCCAACTGTTTCTTCTATTAGAGAGTAATGCAATGCATGACTTACAGCTACAGTATGTAAAGGTCTACTGCCTCAGCACAGCAGAGCACCCCCATCGACTGCTTGTCTGTAACGATTGGCTTGGCGCTTTGTTGAGCTCCCTCCTTGGTGGAGCAGAATAAATAAAAGCAAAACTCAATCAAAGTGGAATATATCCCTGTGTCGACTGGTGTTTGAAATCAATAGACAGTCAACAGCTTGTTGGCCTAAACTCTGCACGCTCGAGGGCAACCCACCTCATTCCTGCAATCCAATCCTTCATATCTCTGTTGTACAAAACCACCTGGGCCCTCCCTGTCAAACACAGAGCACTAACCTCTATTTGTAATGGTTTGGGTCGATTGGTTTTAGAGTACTTCACCGATCGCTACAGCAGCTTTGAGAGCACGCACCTGTGGCACATTTAGACAGATATTTAACTTCTCTCCCAAGTACACAAGGGATGCATTGAGCAGGCAACACACACACACACACAAACACACACACACTCACTTCCCAGACTTACCATTGTCGGCAGCCAGGAAGGTGGCCTCATATATGTTGTTCCTGACGTACATGGACTCCCTGTCCAGCACAGCCATGGTGGTGATCTGACCGTTGGTCCTGTTGATCCTCAGCCAGTTAGCTGGGTCAGACAGCTTTGAGTACCTGGAGACACACAGTAGAAACTATTACAACATATCTAATCCCATAGTGATAACCAATGTTACCTCTCATTTTTTTCGGCACTGAGCAAATTTCAGGTCTGCTGAGCGCCAACTTGAACGTTGTGAAAATTCTGTACAACTTCCAGCGCGCGTTTCCTGTGAACACTGAGGCTGTACCCGCTTTAAGTTACAGTTTTAACAGTGGCCAAGTAAACTACTGTGGCTATTTGATCATAATGTAGGCATACCAGAGTGGCCTACCATAAAAAACAATGGAGAAAAAACATCCCATAACAATTTAACATGGAAATAGCTGTTCTATCATTCAGCCTGCAGTAGCAGTCAATGTATGGTGTTCAATGTAGGCCTACATTCCATTAGACCTTTGAAAAAAACATGCAGGGCTTGACATTAACCTGCTTATCCACTTGTCCTTCAGACAAGGAGGTGACTGGAAATGTTTTTGTGTTGTTTGATGCAAGAAACCACTTTACAACATAAAATGCATTACTATTCCCATACCATTATTACAGAGAATCAGACAAATTATGCTAACCTCTGCCTATTGGCTACTTTGCTTATTCAAGCCAGTCTCAAAATACAACACTTTTTCAAAGATGTCTAGAAATGTATGTTTTGTGCTCTCGTAGGAAGCAATCCCTCCCCTATAGCTGACTACAAATGACTATAACTGGGCTAATAACTCACTAACTAGCAAAGGATATTAACAACATTTGCACACGTGGCTACATGCAGCTCTTGCTTTGATCTCAAAACAAGCGCATCTACTCACGACCACAGCTGTAAACACAGTCCAGTTCAAAGTAAATGGCACAGGTCCATATATGGCAATGGTCTATTTGCATATAGGCCTACTGCAGCTCTGATTGGTTATGCCGCACCGGTCTGTGTAGAGTACTGGCTGAGTCATGCACAATAGAATCCTACTCCGATGTGTTCGGCCTACAACAAAATCTCTTGCATAGTTTGTTTTGTTTCGGTATGTTGCATTGAAAGTGGCTAATATTGCGTTGATTCGATCACAATTGCCAGAGTAAAGGGAAACGTTGATAGTGTTAACTAACAGGGAGAAATCTAGAAAGTTGAGTGAAGTTCAATCTCGTGCTTCTCTCATGGGTCTGATAGTTCTTCTGCGCTCTGCACGGCTGTCCCGGGGAGCTGCAAGGCAGTCTTGGGTCTACTGCGCGCCCCCGCACGTGTGCAGATTAGAGGGAACATGGGTGATAACACCTTAATATATCATAGAAGTGGAATCAGCGAATACCCTGTATTTAATCTTAACTTCCATATAGGATCAGGAGTTTAACATTGCAAACATCTCCCCTGCATCAGGAAGCAGTATGGTATTCTTGCAGCTTGGTTTTGTCAAGTAAACAGTTGACAGCTAAATAGAGTAAACTGATGCAAATGAAATGCAATTTGCAGAAAGGAAACAAATGAGTATTTAAGTGGAGAGTGGAGAGGTTAATTACAGGGAAAGGAGCTAACCTTCATGCAGGTAACACTGCCACGCGAATGCAACTCAAGGTGTTCCTAATGTTTGGTATACTCAGTGTATCTCTTCTCAATAAAACAATGTAAATCAATGTGATTACTCAGTTAAAATGTGTTTCTCACTGTGTGGAGAGATGGAGAGATATATAGTGCATTCGGAAAGTATTCATACCCCTTGACTTTTTTTACATTTTGTTACGTTACAGCCTTATTCTAAAATTGATTAAAAAATAAATAATTATCATCAATCTACACACAATACCCCATAATATGATAAAACGAAAACTGGTTTTTAGACATTTTTGCAAAAGTATTACAAATAAAAAACGGAAATATGACATTTACATAAGTATTCAGACCCTTTACTCAGTCATTTGTTGAAGCACCTTTTGCAGCAATTACAGCCTCAAGTCTTCTTGGGTATGACGCTACAAGCTTGGCACACCTGTATTTGGGGAGTTCTTCCCATTCTTCTCTGCAGATCCTCTCAAGCTATCAAGCTCTGTCAGGTTGGATGGGGAGCTGCTGCACAGCTATTTTCAGGTCTCTCCAGAGATGTCCGATCGGGTTCGAATCCGGGCTCTGGCTGGGCCACTCAAGGACATTCAGAAACTTGTCCTGAAGCCACTCCTGCATTGTCTTGGCTGTGTGCTTAGGGTCGTTGTCCTGTTGGAAGGTGAACCTTCGCCCCAGAGAATCTTGTTTCTCATGGTCTGAGAGTCTTTAGGTGCCTTTTGGCAAACTCGCTGTCGTGTGCTTTTTACTGAGTAGCTTCCGTCTGGCCACTCTACCACAAAGGCCTGATTGGTGGAGTGCTGTAGAGATGGTTGTCCTTCTGGAAGGTTCTCCCATCTCCACAGAGGAACTCTACAGCTGACCAATGGGTTCCCTGAACAAGGCCCTTCTACCTCGATTGCTCAGTTTGTACGGGTGGCCAGATCTAGGAAGAGTCTTGGTGGTTCCAAACTTCTTCCATTTAAGAATGATGGAGGCCACTGTGTTCTTGGAGATCTTCAATGCTGCAGAAATGTTTTGGTACCCTTCCCCAGATCTGTGCCTCGAAGCTCTACGGACAATTCCTTCTGACATGCACTGTCAACTGTGGGACCTTATATTTCCAAATCATGTCCAATCAATTGAATTTACCACAGGTGGACTCCAATCAAGTTGTTGAAACATCTCAATAATGATCAAAGGAAACAGGATGCACCCGAGCTCAATTTCGAGTCTCATAGCAAAGGGTCTGAATACCTATGTAAATAAGGTATTTCTGTTTTTGATTTTCTATACATTTGCAAACGTTTCTAACAGCCTGTTTTTGCTTTGTCATTATGGGGTATTGTGTGTAGATTGCTGAGAACATGTTTTTATTTAATCAATTTTAGAATAAGGCTGTAACGTAACAAAATGTGGAAAAAGTCAAGGGGTCTGAATACTTTCCAAAGGCACTGTGTATATATATATATATAGAGAGACAGAGGTATAGAGAGATCAGATGCCTGGTGGGATGAGGTTTGATGTTGCTGCTGATGATGATGAGAATAGGTCTAATTAGAGAACACGCTGGAGGATCACACAAGTTAGCGAGTGCCAACGAGATGTGTGGGAGATAATAGCAGCTAAGCAGCTAAATCTCCCCTTAATGAAACACTCTGCCACATTTGGACTCCAAGGGATGGAGGGAGGTAAAGACGAACAGAGATATCGAGGTATCGATGTGGTTCTCCGTCATGGGGAAATCAACAACAGATAAATTGTTGTAACAAGTAGTAACAAGAAAATGAGAGTTAGAAAGTCACGCCAACAGACTTTGGTGTCAGTTTGGATTTGATGTCCATTGGCAGGTGAAACAGAGGTCTCTAGTTGTTGTGAGAGGCTCTGTCATCTCTCCCCATGCCACGGTGGCAGCCCGGGGGCACTCACGCCTCTCTCTGACACCCAGCTGGCAGAGACTGGCACATGGAGAAGGGCACACAGCTGGTGGTGCAGTTCTACGATCCATCCATGCACGCTACCACTTCCCCCAAGTCTGACAGTCAAACTAGCTGGCAAATCAGACCCTGTCTACCCCTTTTCTCTCCTCTCTCCTCTCCTCTCCACTGCTCTCCTCTCCTCTTCCTCCCCCTCCACATGAGAAAGCAGGCGGGAGGAGGGATGGGGAAGGAAGAGGAGTGTTCTGGTGCACACACACTGCAACTCCTCACGTCAGCTGTCGGCAAGGTCACTAAAGTGAATCAGCCAGTGGTGATCAGGCTGTCCAAACATGAGCTGCCTGTCGGCTGCCACGACATCTCTGGAGAAGACAAAAGGGCCGACTTCCCATCAATAAAGGAGAAAAAAGAGACAGAGAGAGGGAAAGCAGTGAGTTAGAGACAGGGTAGCGAGAGAAGAAGAGGAGTTCTGTGGCTCTCAGAAGACAAAACAACAGTGAAAGAGTAAGTTTGAGTGAATTCATTTATGAGAAGAACTGGTGTTTTTAGAGTTTATTTGTTTGCCTGCACTGCATTGATTCTTTAACGGGTGCCTGAGTGAATTGAGAGTGGAATTGATTGGTGCTGAATCTGGGGATAGAGTGGATGGAGTGGCTCAATGACCTTTGACCCAGTGAGTATGTGGGAGAGGGAGAGAGAGGTAAAGAGTAGCTGGACACAGTCCAGCTTATTACGATGTAACCTTTCCTCCCTCGTCGCTAGCCAACAGGGAAATTAATGGACTTTAGTCTTGGGAGCAGGTCAGTTAAGAATGTCACAGAAGGCAGTGGTTCAGTCTTATGACGGCGATGCAAAATACAATCAGCATCTATCCTAAATGAAGCCCAGGCCCTGTAGTTCCTAACAGTGATCATTCAGTACCGGACATTCTGATGGATGAAGAGGTCAGGGTCTTGGGCAGCGAACACGGTGAGTGTGGTGCCTGCAGGGACACCCTCCTCGAAACGGATGGACTTGGGGTTGGAGGGGAAGACAGGGGGTTCGTTGACATCCTGTACGGAGATGGTGACCCCCGCTGAAGACTGGAGAGAAGACTGGATCCCACTGGCCAGTGGGGCCTTGTTAGAGACTATCACCGTCAGCATGAAGGCCCTGTTCTGCTCATAGTCCACCGGCTGGAGGGAGAGGGAGAGAGCGAGAGCGAGAGAGAGAGATGAACGAGAAAGGAAAGAGAAATTAAATAACTAAAATGCACCCATATCAATATGGAACCAAAGTTAATCATAATTTAGCACTTGGAGTTGTTTATTTAAAACAGTGAAGTAGTTCCCTACCTTGACCACAGTGACCATGCCGTCGTTGTTGACAGGGTTGGTGCGGATGAGGAAGTGACCCTGGGGGTCTCCGCTGGCGATGCGGTACTGGGCAGCCCAGTTGGGGCTGTGAGGCTGATCCCTGTCAATCACTGTCAGATTGGCCACCACCACATTCACCCTGTTCTCTGGGACCTCCCCTGAAAACTAGAGAGAGAGAGAGGGAGGGAGGTTGTGAGAGAAAGTGAGATATTTTTTATGAATTTGGATAATAGAGACAGGCAGTTATGAGTCATGACCGCAGTAAAATTCCACGTGACCGTTGAGTCACAGTAATGCCCTTTTATGCACTCTGGACATGCTTTGGTAGTACCCAACTTGCTAACTACCATAATGCCGTTCCTTATAGTGCTGAATGCCAATGTGTGGAAATCTGTCACATCTCCTCCCGTTGCTCCCCTCCAGCGCTCTGATTTGCCGGTCTACTGAGACAGCGGTCTGAGCGCACCACCTCGGCAACACCGGAATGGAAACCCAACGCACCCTATCACCTCCAGCGCACCTGCGCCTCATCATCTCATCACAACCCCTATATAGCCCTGGACTGTTCAGTGTTGTGTTGTGTGTAATTGTTAGTGACTTGTCGTGTACTCGCTCTTTGTTGTTCTCTTGCTCAGTGTTAAGTAAACCTTTACATTGTTGATTCCTGCGTCTGCGTCCTGCCTCTTCGTATCCTCAGTACTCGTCACAAAATCTTAATTCAAACCAATGGATTTGTTCAATGAAGTGTTTACCCATTTACATTTAATTCTGCACATTTACCAATTAAGAAATTAAATAAGTACTGTAATTAAATGGATGGCCTGAACCATCTTTGGGTAATGATCTTCATTATATTCCAATCTAAAACTATTCAGTTCACTCAATGATACAGAAAACTCAGAGGTATAGCCAGAGCAAAAACGGCATACACAAAAACCTACTGTACAGGAATTTAGTCCAAACAAAGTGACCACATTCTGCAGCGGTCTCTTTCATATTCGAGACACACACACACACACAACACACACACACACACACACAATACACACACACACCACGGCTTTTATTGTCAGACAGTAATCCCTGTTTCCTCTTGTGATGCGTTAACTGGTTTATGGTGTGTGTCTGCCAGCTGCTGTTCACTCTAATGGCTTCATCATGGCGCTGGGGCTGCATTCAAACCCCCCTCCTCCTCCCTAGCCCTTGTCCCCCGCAGCATCGCCACGCCGATAAGCACAGAACAAATTAAATATGCACATTCTCTGTGGTGTGTGGGCTCCTCTATTTCATTTTCTCTTCGAGCTTCAACACAGACAGGAAAAAAACCTTCCAAGCTTGTATGGCAACGTTGGGAGAGAGAGAGGGAGAGGCAGAATTAGATGTGTTTTTTAAAACCTTATGGAACGGTTCTAACTGGATGATAGAGCTCTGGGAAGATGTCCTCACCCTTGAAAGTAGGTGGTCTGTCTGATAAGCAGCCAGAGAGTCAAACAAGAGAGCCTGATGGGAGCCTCCTCTGGTTACTGGTTAGGGAACTGGAGGGCCCATCAATGGGTTCTGATTGAAAAATGACAGAGGATACGCTCAATTCAGAATGGTAAACTACAATTTAATTCATGCATCAAAGTTTGACTTTGAAAGTCAAAAGGATGCAGATCCAGTTCAAAATGGAACAGACCCCAACCCTTACTGGGAATCCGTTCCACTCAACTGCTACTAATAACAGAATTGGAGATTAAATTGAGAATAACTGAATAATATAAGAATTGAGCCTTGTAATAATGCAGCGTTTTGAGACGATAGTCCTGCATTCTGTTTTACCTCTCTCACGACAAGAGAATCAGCTACACAACTCAACACGGCTCTACGGGCTCTTTTACTCTTCCCAATAGAAGCATGGTCTTGGTTGAAAACAACAACAACAACAACAACAAAGGTGCAATAATGTTAGCAAGAAGTGGGAATAAAAATGCCCTTAAAAACAACTCTTAAAATTTTTCTCTCTGAGTAGAATGGTGCACAGTTAAATCAGTTTTATGGGTATTATTATATCCTCATTGTGACGGTGATGGAGCCCTTGGCAACCCACATTATTTCTGTTTTTTTCATATCACACTAGTGCCACATGCAGTGGCACATGTACTATCACTAACAGCCAATGAAGCCTGCTGTGCCAACACATATAGCATCTTAATTTGATCACTCTTTTGTTGCTGAGAATTTTTACTGCACTGCAGGAAATGCAGATGAGCGCTGTGATTGACATAAATTCACTGTATTTCACCGTATTGCACTTTTCATGTAGCCTACTTTTGGCCAGCTGATAGCCTAACCACCGATCAAAAAACATTATGGACTAAACGTTCCAATCCTGTTGCTACAGGATTATTTTGCTGTGACAATATACATAGGTCAAATTAAGATCCTACATCTGTATGCCCCTGACTGTTCTTCAGTAATAAGCCTCAGTAAAACTACAATGTATGAGAGACAACTAGCCCGCTAGACACGGACGCTCTTCAGGTAAACCAGGAATAGCATGCTATTAAGGCCTACTGGAATCTAGCTGGCTGATATTTGAACATCTGAACCTACAGACTACAGCTCCAAACACCGATCATTGTGGATATGAATTGAAAACGTCGGCAGGAGTATATAGTTTAGTTTGAGTGTGATGCACTTGATTAGATCTCATTACCATAACCCTAGGAGAGTGAGATTATACAGTCGCTGAAAGCAGCCTAATGAGTTGTGGCAAGTACCATTGTCTTTTTGTTTTTCACATAATGACGAACATCACACTCTCATATTCATGCCCATGTTCTCAAATGAATAAAACATTTGGCTTTTTTTCAAATGAGAAGCAATATATCTGCTTGGTTTACGCCCCTGCAAGCAATTTTACTTAATTAGTGTGCTTATGTTTTCTCTCCATTTCCCGTTGAGAGATGCACATGCTTTCCTGCGTCTGTCATACACAAATAATTACTGAACTGCTCCGAGTGGAGTTTGCTCTGTGGAAAGAGAAGAAAAGGAATTGACAAACAAAGCAACAGAGAACCTGGATAATACTGCAATCTTCTAGGAAAATGTGTATGTGTGTGCCTGTGGGTAAAGCTGTGTGTGTGTGTGTGTGTGTGTGTGCCTGCGGGTAAAGCTGTGTGTGTGTGTGTGTGTGTGTGCGTGCGTGCGTGCGTGTGCGTGCGTGCGTGTGTGTGTGTGTGTGCGTGCGTGTCAAATAGACAGCAGTAAGATAGTAAGACAGCTGCCTCAATATGACTAACATGTCCTCTGCTTTCCCCACTCGTCTTCTCTTCCTCCCTCTCCTGTCCTCTGCACCACAATAACCACTGTCCCTCCACAACAGAGGCCCATCCATCTGTTACTGTTGGAACACACAGTTTGACACTTGTGTTCCAAACCATGTGTTCTAAACCATGTGTTCTAAACCATGTGTTCTAAACCATGTGTTCCAAACCATGTGTTCTAAACCATGTGTTCCAGTGGCGGCTCCTGAAAAAATTCTCAGGAGGGGCAATTTTTCTGATGATTTAGGTGACCTACACACATTTAAAAAAAGATATGTCCAGCAACAACATGAAGACAGGGGCAGCATATAAGTCAATACCAGAAGCATTTATTGACTGATCTGGGGAGATGGATTCCAGTTTCTGTGACAGATTATAAATAATCTCTGATGCCTTTGTTATATTAGCTTTTGGTTGAATGTACTGTCGTAGTAAATATATAATGTTATAGCTTGGTCTGACTAAAATCTTGTGCATGACCCATTTTGTGTTGGGCCTTTGTATTCAATACAATGAACAAGAGTCCTATCTTGTCAGCCTTGTCAGCAGGTGGCTAAGGATAACACCCACGCCATAGGTCTCTCAGTTCTTCCAACTCACGTGTTCTTGCCCTGAGGACACACACACACACACCCACACACACACACACACACACACACACACACACACACATCATCACTGATAAACACACACACACACACACACACACATCATCACTGATAACAAACACACACACACACACACACACACTGATAACAAACACACACACACACACACACAAATCCTCTTCTCTTAGGCTGAACATCTGAAGACAGAGAACCCGACTCAGAGCCAATGCAACAGTGACACTAGCCTGGAGGTGACATCGCCCAACTCATCAGGACCAATCAGAAGATCAGAACTACTAGATTCAACCTACTTCATTTTATTGTATAAAATGTCAGCACACAATGTTTAGGGGCTCTTCTGATAAACTCCCTACGAGTTTGACGAACGGGTCCGTGCACGCGATTCCAGATATCTTTACCTCTGAATAAACTGCCTTATATTATACAATTATCCACCTTGTCCAAAAGTCTCTACTTTTTCTCCGTTCTCCAGTAAACTTGTTTTATCAACAATAGTAAGGTTCAATGACACAGAAAGCAGTTCAATGTCGGGGTACAGAGTCGCTCTCTTACCAGGATCGCGGTCCGCTCTGTCCAGGGTGAAGGTGGCCGGCTCCACCTCTCTGTCCGGGACTCTGTCATCCAGTCAAGTCTCCCAGCTGTATTGGGATTTTGCTGCCAGCAGCGTTTTCATTATTTAGTCCGTTCGTAGCGGGTATGTACACGATCAACAAGATCAGTCCAAAACCGAAGATCAGTCCAAAGCAGAATGTTTGCAGAATGTTTGTAAACTAAGTCTACAAATTAAAAAAATAAAATAACGCCACACAGCAGGTCGCAACATAGACGCTGGTAGCCGCCATTGTCTTAGTTACGTTCAACGTTACGTCACGTATGACGAAAGCGCGTAAGTGCATGCACACAGACACCCATAGAGAATGTATTGAAAGCTTTGAAATGTGAAAAAAATAGATTTTACATGACAGGCTATGAGAGACTTCTGGGCGATTTTCAACCTGACTGAAATCGCCCAAAAAACGGGCGGGGCCATTTGAAGCACGACTTTAGCCTGATTTGACATTTAGTGGCTGGCAGATCAGACGTGAACACTGATAACTGCCGTTGCCGTGATATAATTGATTAGAAAAAAAATCCCTTCCTTTTCCCGTTTGGCAGTGCGTCGCCCATATCGCCCTATTGAACAAGCCGTCCATGATGTGTTCTAAACCATGTGTTCTAAACCATGTTTCCAGAGCTTGTTTCTTTCTCCTTCTTTGTCATCCTGGTTCTTCTATTGCTGGTATAATTCATGATCTCTCCTGCAATGCCACGTGGTTCTAAACACAGTGAGGCAGTGAGGATACTCAACACTCTCCCTCCACCCAACACCAGTGGTGTTAAGTACTTAAGTAAAAATACTTTAAAGTAGTACTTAAGTAGTTTTTGGGGGGTATCTGTACTTCACTTTACTATTTATATTTTTGTCAACTTTTACTTCACTACATTCCTAAAGAAAATAATGTACTTTTTACTCCATACGTTTTCCCTGACACCCAAAAGTACTCATTACATTTCAAATGCTTAGCAGGACAGGAAAATGGTCCAATTCACCACTTACCAAAAGAACATCCCTTGTCATCCCTACTTCCTCTGATCTGGCGGACTCACTAAACACAAATGCTTCATTTGTAAATGATGTCTAAGTGTTGGACTGTGCCCTTGGCTATCCGTAAATAAAATAAAAAATGTAATTGTGCCGTCTGGTTTGCTTAATATAAGGAATTTGAAATGATTTATACTTTTACTTTTGATACTTACCCTTTTCACGCCCCAGCGTGAGTTTGTTTATGTACGTGATGTCAGAATGCACTCACTGTTCCCAAATGTAATTGTTACACAACAGGACAGTTAACCCACGCTACCCTCAAACCAAGACACTGCCTGCTATTTATCTATGTTTCAACTTGTCAATTTCAAATTATTTTCTAGCAAGTTTTATTTTCTAACAACAGTTTCAATTGAGGTGTGTTCCAACTCCTCATTAATACACATAGGAAGTAGCCCATTTCACTGATGCGGACAAATTATGTTTGAGGATTTACTGAGCTGGACAAACTTCTCTCTTCAACCAGAGCCCAAGCACTTCCCCAGTGTTTCCGCAGATCAAGTATGCAGACATTTGTGCAGTCTTGCACAAACGTTTTCCCCCTGGAACATTTTCTGTCTGGCGCCCGCATTGCCTTCATTGTTGTTTTCCTTACAAATAATAACTTTGGACGTGTGTGCGTTCCTATCAAAGTAAGTGCCTTATTTTCTGTATATCATGTTGTCGTTTCTACTGTAGCATACAGTATGTGGAGCATAATGTATTTACAGTTTTATTCACATGTTTTCAAGTACTGGTGACAAATCATGCATTCCGATTCTTGCATAGATTGTAATAGACAAATACTTTTTTCAAGGTTGTACTGATTATGATGAGCTAATGCTAAGTTATTTGCTTTCTACAGTATTTGTGGCTCCATGTTTGTTGACATCATACAATGCATTCTGGGTGTCACTTAAACGTCTGTCAGATCAAATATGTTAGAACAAAATGAGGTGAAGGAATGGTTCACTCATCTTTCGAGTAAACTTCCGGAAGTGCATGAAGGGAAGTGAATGATCGTAGACGACACGCCCCCTTCAACATGCATAGTGCAAACAGACCAAACTCATCTTGTCTCCTCTTCTTATCTTTGGTTGAGGCAAAAAAAGCAAACATGGCGGCGCGCACAAACTACCCATCATCGGATTAGTTTAGATTTTTAGAAAGTGTTTTACTCAATTATTTAAATAAATGGAGAGCTCACCCATGATATGATGAATTGTAAATAGTAATTGCTATTAGCTAATTCAAATTGTGGTTTCTGTCAGCTGAGAGTTTGCTAAATACGCTTGTGTAATGTCAATCTTTCCTCAGTAAGCGCTAGGACTAATGTAGCCTACATTTTCCGGTTTGGATGATTGTGTATGCTGTTGCTACTTCTGTGAATGTCTGAACATTGCATCCAAAAATAAACTGGTCACATTCAGGACATAACTGTGTAAGGACTGTGTTTGTGCAAAATGTTTCTGTGAAAAAACAGTGTGGCCAGCTCAAACGCTGACTGTTGCGTCAATCGAAACTGGACGTTCTAAATAAGCCTTCTAATCACACTGGTTTGAGCGTATGCTGCAGAGACCACTTTAGAATGATCACACCCATTTGTTGGTACGTGTCAAAGGGTTAAGTATATTTTAGCAATTACATTTACTTTTGATACTTAAGTATATTTAAAACCAAATACTTTTAGACTTTTACTCAAGTAGTATTTTACTGGGTGACTTTCACTTTTACTTGAATCATTTTCTATTAAGGTATCTTTACTTTTACTCAAGTATGACAATTGGGTACTTTTCCCACCACTGCCTAACACCATGTCTGATAATCCAGTGACCCTACAACAGCAAACAGCATACAAAGACTGAAGAGTGGAGAGAGTAGAGAGTGTAGAGTAAAGAGGAGTGTGGCAGTGTGGAAGTTTGAGTGTTCCCCTGTGAGAGGGGAGTGACAGAGACAGGACAGAGCGGTCTGAGGCGTTGTTCAGTGGGTTAGTCTCTGACAGCTGGGGCCTCTTATCAGAGCAACCGGCTGGAACTACACAGCTGCCTGCCTGGCACACTCAGTGATGATGCCGCCGTGCCACCGAGAGATGGATCACATATCAGAGGAGGCAGTGTGTGACGTGGACACACTCCTCTCTCTGCAGATGGATGGACATACAGAAAAAGGAGAGAGGGAGGGAGAGAGAGAGAGAGAGAGAAAGAAAGAAAGACCAACAAAGGGAGAGACTACTCCTCCCTTATGATGCACGCCCACATGCACACACACACACACACTAAAGTGGGCCAGAAGAAGTCAGGCAGCCTCCAGTGCGGATGTGTATGGGACTGGGACCAGATGCCTGCAGACAAACCATGGCCACCAGAGAGGCTGCTGGCAGAAAGAGTGGAGGGAGGGCTGCTCCTATAACCAAACAGCCTATGATCTTTCTCTCTCATCCCTCTTTGTCCCTCCATATGTCGCTCTGACCCACTCTCCCTTTACTTCAGTAGCTCCCTCTTTCCCTCTGACCCCTTTCTTCCTATTTGTCTTTGCCTGCTGTTTATCTCTCCACATGTCTCTGCCCCGCTCCTCTGTCAAAGAGCCATGACCTCTTGTTCTCTAAGATAGCATCAGACACATGGACTGCGTCTACAACAGAGTTGGGGCACTGCCCTGGTGAATATCCATCAGCAGATGTTATCCTGTCATGAAGACAGATGTGTGGCCCTACAGTAGAGGTCAGTCCTGGGGTGGAGAGGAGACTCACCGTCCTGGCGGTCAGTTCGGGAGGGTTGTCGTTGATGTCGGTCACAGAGATGAGGGCGGTGGCCGTGTTGGACAGGCCAAAGTTCAGGTTCCCCTCCATGTCCGTGGCCTGGACGATGATGGTGTACTGGGACACTTTCTGGAAAGACACACCACATTCATGTTAGTTAAATAAGAGCTCATAGAGGGTGAAGGTAGTTCTGAGCATACTGTAGGTAGGTGGGCTGACTGACAAACAAACAAATTAATAACTAGCACAAACAGCTCTGAATCTGATACACACACTTATGTGCAACTCATGAACACACACACACACACACACACACACAAAGGCTTAGGAAGTGAGGGAGCAATGGGTGCGAGTGAAAGGCTCATCCATTATAGCCTACAAGTCCCTGCTTTTAGCTCTCTGAGCAACCCTGATCATCACTCATTCTAATGGAGGTGCCATCACTTTAAGAAGAACCACTATGCTGCAAATATTAAAGAGAGTGAATGGACATTATTTAGCCCAGTTAGATGGTAGAGAACAGCTAGAGGCGGTGCTGCAGTAAAGACCACCATTGAAAGAACAGTCAATCATGACATCAAACAGTATAACATGCATTCACACTGAGAAGACACAGCAGAGACACTGTCTTCTCCTCTCTTTTTATCTTTCTCTCTCCCTCCTCCTCTCTCACAACACGAACAGATGCATTATTTCTTTTTTTGACTCAAAAACAAAACTCATTTACACTTTGCTGCTGTCCATGGTGCTGAAAATTCACTGTGTCCATCAGTGCAGCAATGGTTTCACCCCTCTCCCCAGTCCATCTCTCTCTCTCCAGTCACCCAGGCTCTCCCCTGGTCTCTCCCTGTAAGCCTCTCAGAGTCGCCGCTCCTCTCTGCTCTCATTAATCCATTTGGCTAAACCCCCTATTGTGCTGGTGTGGAGACTGGACGTCAAGGACAGGTCAGTCAGTGTGAAGAGGAGAGGAGATGAAAGCCCAGCCTAGCCTGCTGCTGTGTTCGGTCACACTTTATTTGGGATAGTCCGGATTTTCCATCGGTAGATGCTCTACAGGTCATAATATCAACAAACTATCTGTTGATAAGCAACTGCTTGCTAAGGTTAGGGCTAGGTTTAGAATAAGGGTAAGAGTTAAGGTTAGGGCTAGGGTAAGGGCTAAGTTTAGGGTTAGGATAAGGGTTAAGGTTAGTTGAAATGTTACTGATAGTCTGTAGATGGACTATCCAAATAAAGTTTTACCCTGTTCAGCTGAAAAGGCCTCTCTTTTCAAGCCTTCCACCATTCAGTAGCCCTGCTATCACTGGGCCAGTTCTGCAGTGTTGACCTCGAGTACACAGCCTATAACAGCTATTGGGTCAGGACCTGTATGGGTATGGCCAATGAACCCTGATGGAGGCCAGTAAAATGCTGGGTAAAGATGCAATTTCAGATACAGATTGAGATTCGAGAGAGATCTCGCAGATGAGAGAGAGAGTAGAGAGAGAAGATCGGAGTAGGAGAGCTCGAGAGAGAGAGGAGGGAGGAGCGAGAGAGCGAGAGAGAGAAGACGATTTCTCCGCAGGAGAGAAATAGAGATCAGGATAGAGCGCGATGCAATCGAGATAGAATCTACGCAGCTCGGAGAGAGAGAGATATTCAGACGATCTACTCTCTATCGTATTAGGATATCTCTATCTCTAGAGCTTCTCTCTTCTCTATCCTACTCTCTCTCTCTCTCTCTCTCTATCTCTCTCTATCTCTCTCTCTCTCTCTCTCTCTCTCTCTCTCTCTCTCTCTCTCTCTCTCTGCTCAGGGAGCAGTGTGCTTAATAGTCAGGTCAGTTGATCCAGCGAGGCTTTTTAAAGCACTTAAACTCACCTAGAGTCATTTAAAGTTCTGCAGAGTCATTAGGACTCGCTCCACATGTTAATTTGAACTAGACCATCTCTATTAATGAAAACTCAATATGGGCTGCGGTTTATTACAGCCATAATGAAATATCAATAACATCTATTCTCATAGTGCACTGCAGTAATTAGACCCTTTACACTCTCTTCAGACTATGATTCAGCTACATCAGGGTAACAGTAGTCCTGGATAGCTGCTGTCCTGTGGGTAGCCTGACTCTTAGTAGCAGACGTGCATGGTGTTTGATCAAGCATGGAAAGGAGTGTTAAGCCCAACAGCAGGTGGCACTCTGACACAGTAGGGGGAATGGGACATGTTGTCCTGCAGCACTTTGTTAGAAGTTTAACCCAGCACACACACACTCTTCTAGCCTCTCCCTCCCGTCATTGTGTCTGCCCTAACAAGCCATTAAAGGGGTCTCTAATGAGTCTTATAGATCTTTGAAAATAAGTCTCTCTGTTAGATTAGAGAGTCCAACTCACGAAAGGAAATACGCCTTCTTCTTTCACCAAACAGAACAAAAGCAGCGCTTTTCCCACGGGCCTAAGCCCTTGGACTTGAATGGGAAGGGTTGAAAGGCATCTAGGGCCATAAGAACAGAACACTGCTGCAAACTCTGAGGTAAAATTAGATCCTTTACACAGGAACTGAATGAGACCGGAGAGTACAGAAAGCGCAAAAGGCTACAGGCTAACAGAACTCAATGGCCAGCACTCCTTTTAACAAAAAAGGTCAAATTAAATCCTGAAATGGTTGTCTAATGTTCGCTGTTTGGCGCGAGAGAGAGAGAGACAGCAATGACGTGGTGCACATACTGTATGTGACATAGTACACCATTTTCGGGGACCACTTTTGGCTCAAGAGCACTACTTTCAGAACTACTGGCTAAAAAGTATACAAAAGTACTGGAGAATCCCTTTAATGGAGAATGAATTTAATCTGAGCTGTGTCTGTTTGTGCTTTGTGTGTTAGGCAGACTGAACATGTGACAAAGACAAAGCGAGCGTGAATGAGCACTGAACTAGCACTTTCCGTATTTGTTCTGTGGTTTGTGTTCTGGCCTGTCAGTCTGGTTCTGACCACAGTGATTACCCTGTCACTAACAATCTCCCTCAAACAGCCACTGACTCACATTTAACCCAGAGAGACTCCCTCCCTCCCATTCACTGCAGCTCTCTGAGGAAGATGGAGCACAGAGCTCCTGCTAAATACACTGTATTAAAAACAAAGGCATATGGACATACAATACACATACACACCCAGACATTTACATTTACATTTTAGTCATTTAGCAGACGCTCTTATCCAGAGCGACTTACAGTTAAGTGAGTGCATACATTTTCATACTGGCCCCCCGTGGGAATCGAACTCACAACCAACTGAGCTACATCCCTGCCGGTCATTCCCTCCCCTACCCTGGACGACGCTGGGCCAATTGTGCCGGTCGCGGCCGGCTACGACAGACCAATATGATACACTCATGACACATTAAATACAGTCACACAAACACTCAGATACACCCTTATGCACAGACACTTGCCCCCCAGATATGCCAAACACAAACCTTTCTCCAGAGGGAGCCCCTAATGGTTAACCACTTCCCCAGGCTGAAGGAGTGATACTCAGTCCCCTGGAGATGGCACCTCCAAGCCCCTGTAGGTGCCCAGTGCCCTGCCTTGTCCCCCACCCGGCCTCTCCTCCCCCATGGGGACAGTCTGTAGGCACTCACAAACACTGACTACAGTGCCAGATCAATGCCCTAATCAGGCAGAGCAGAGCTGACACGCTCCAACCTGGAGCTGACACGAGTCAGCCACGCCGCCCAGCATCGTGCACAGCTAGGCTCCAGAGAGGTTGCAGTAGCCTGGGGGAATGAAAAGCAACGGACCTGCCACTCCAGCCAGGCCTAGAGAGCACTGAGACAGCCCAGTCCATCTGTGGCACACAGGACAGCACAACTCTCTCACACTCAGCAGGCTACCTCATACAGGACCAGGACTAACAAATGCTGCCCATTAGCCACCAGCACAAGAGACAGACACCGTAGCTTCTTAATGTACAGTAGCTCTGTTTCTCAGGCAGAGAAAGAGGGACCCAGAGACAGCTTAGCCCTGCTTGTTAACCAGTGTGCTGAAACATGCAGTGGCACGAGGGCACAGAAGAGGTGAGGTCAGGGATGCAGTGAGTGGCAGGGTAATTGGCATTCAGGAGTGTTCAGGGCTGGGTGACACTGAAGTGCCCTTCCTGTTCCCCTGCTCTTCTCCACACTGAAGAGGCTCACTCACCCCTTAATTAACACATGAATATTCCATTTAGTCTCTAGTGCAACTGATGAAGAGCATTAGCTGCTACATCGCTGTGTGTGTGTGTGTGTGTGTGTGTGTGTGTGTGTGTGCGTGCGTGCGGGTGTGTGCATGCATACATGTATGTTAATGCCTGAGAGTGTACTTATGTGTGTGACCTTGAGTGTAGGTGGGTGAACACCCAGGTGTGTCCCAGTTTTAGGGGGAGGATCAGAGGGAGAGAGGCAGGTGAGACTGGGCTGCTGGAGCTGCTGCTCTATTTAGATTAATGAGGTTGACTCCCATCCGTTCAGCTGTGGGGGAGACCAGGGGACAGGGAAACAGGCCCTGCATTAACTGCAGACGATTTCTACTGTCAACGCTTTACTGTTTAACATGTATACTTGAATGAGTAACATGCATGCATATATGCATACAGAACCTGGATGCAATTGTGATTGTTTATTTTCCTCAATATTCACAGACAAATCAGATATTAAGCAACTAAACCTGGTAGCCATACCAGTCTTGTTTCCAATATAGGTCAAATCCGTCGGGTTTCTACAGGATGGTCAGGATGGAGCTATTACCAAGTGGGACTATTGGGAAATCTCAGAATATAAACGTTATGAGACTTTCTCGTGTTGCCAGAGCTCAAAGGTTTAGACTCAGCACTAGTGCTTTTATGTCAGCGGTAAAATCATCAGACTAATAATATCATAATGATACAGTATGTTATCATTTTGTGTCTTTGGAACATTTAGGAGTAGGATTGGCGGTCGTATTTCCCTCTGAATGTCAGGCCACAGAGGAGTATTAGGAGTGTGAGTCTGAGAGACTGACTGTAAGAGACTGACTGCAAGAGACAGACTGCAGGGTGAGAACAGCTTCTCATAAAAGACTCTGCTGGCAGCTTACTGATACATTATGGGATAAACAGAGTTGATCCTCCGTGACCTCCCTCATTAGCGATCTAAGAAGGGAGGGGGTGGGGGGGCACATCACCTGTGGGAGTGCGACACAAGGAAGGTAGAGGATAAATCAGGTGAAATCCATTCCCTTGACCCCCTCCAGGAGGGCCAGCACGTGTTGGTATTTTATAGCCATTAGTAGTACTGTTTGCAGGGTTGGGGTCAATTCCATTTCAACTCCTGTCAACTGAATTGGACATGAAAAGTCTCTACACATGAATAATTCAATTCAGTTCCTGAATAGACTGGAATATAGATAAGAATCAACCCCAACCCTGTCAGACTATTTTGCTCATAATGGTTAAGATTTAGTCGAGGGAGAGAGGGAATCCTGAGTTAGTTATTAAGGGCAGAAGGTGACTGACTGGTGTACAGGAGCGGTGACTTATAGGAATGGGAACATCATCCACTGTCAGACTATATCTAATATAATTACTTAGTTTGATATGGTACCTCTGCCATGAGATGTGAGGTGACACAGTACACACCAACAACATACCGTAACCATGTGGATGTGCAGTAACTGGCTGACATGAACACTGATCCAACAGGATGTCAATGCCCCTTCCTCCCCCCCCCCCCCCCCGCCCCCTGACAGACAGTGCGGCCGTGTTGTGCTACTGACCTCCCTGTCCAAGCCCGCGGCCACGGTGAAGATGTCTCCCGTCTCGCTGTTGATGGTGAACATGTTGGGGATGGGCATGTGGGGGGTCTGGGACAGGATCCTGTAGCGCACCATCCCATTGGCTGTGGTGTCATCATCTGAGTCATTGGCTGTCACCTGCATCACTAACGTGCCTGCCAACAGAGAAGAGACACAGCCAGCAACAGTTAGAGAAACACACTGTGACTCATACAGTGCAGGAAACACCTCCTCCTGGCAAAGACAGAGCCACGAACAGTCACACAAACACCAAGAGATTGAACACATGTCCCATCATCATACACAAACACCAAGAGATTTAACATATGTTTCCCATCATCATACACAAACATTTTTAACATAGAGTACACAATACACACACACTTCAAACCTTATTTCAAACCCATTCCCTGCATCAATGTCTTCAGTTAAGGGAAACCTCAAGGGGAACATAAGTAGACAACACAAACTCTGTGTAGCTCAGTTGGTAGAGCATGGCGCTTGCAACGCCAGGGTTGTGGGTTTGTTTCCCACGGGGGGCCAGTATGAAAATGTATGCACTCACTAACTGTAAGTCGCTCTGGATAAGAGCGTCTGCTAAAATTACTAAAATGTAAAATGTAAAAAGCCCCCATTCATCCCATCCCTGTTTATACCAGGCTGGCAGGCTGGCAGGCAGGCAGGGTAAAGTTACCCCCTACAGAGTCCATTTAGTAATGAGCAGCGCTGGCTCTTCTGCCATTTCCACCATCCATTATTTCAGCCTTCAGCGGCACGGCTGCTGCCCTTAATGCTCCGATGCTCTCTCCCTATTTGTCTTGGAATCATGGGTAAAATACACAGCCATTTAAGGTTGACGGTGGGGGTGGTGTGTGCCTGTGTACGTGTGTATAGAGGTGGAGGGGATGGGGGGTGAAAGTGCCCCCATCTCTCCTAGCAGAATTATTGATTTGTAAGAGCTTGTCAGCCAGGCTCACAGGCAGAGAGACGCAGGAGGAACACACACGCTAGGGTTGTTGTACTGTATAAGGAGGTAGAAACATAGACGAAGATACAGGGGAGAGAGGAAGAGGAGAAGAGACAGAAGCATATATATAGAGAGAGATATAGGGATAGATAGACAGAGACAGAGAGGAGTGTAGGAAGAGAGAAAAGAGAGCGAGAGAGAGAGTGAGAGAGAGGGGGGAGAGAGAGAGAGAGAGAGAGAGAGAGAGAGAGAGAGAGAGAGGAGAGAGAGAGAGGAGAGAGAGAGAGAGAGACCGGAAGAAAAAACAGGGAGGCGTGAGAGCCATTAGAGCTGATCTAAGGTCAGTTTTGCTGTAGATCAGCTGCAGAAGTAGGCGCATGGACAGTATTAGATAGGATTAGCTAGTGTGGAAACATGTTGAATTTCAGACAGGCAGTTGAAGAGACACACGGTGGGTCCTCACAGCTACAGGTGTCTGTTCTGCTGGCTCTCATAATTGGGCAGAGAGAGCACCATAATTTCCGTGACAGCCAGAATCAACTGAATAATTGTAGCTGAGAATTCTATTTCGAACTTCATTAAGTTTCAAAGCAGGAGTTGTCACTTTGCCCAAGGAGAGAAAACAACAGAGAGAGAACCATGGAAGGGAGCGAAAAGAAATACAATTACCCTTATTCCAGAAAGGAGAGCATCAATATTTCATCAACTTTTCAGTCCGATGGGGGGTGAAAAAAGTGATGTAGAGAATCGTATGTCAACTCTGCCACCTTTAATTTCAATAAGAGGGATTCCTTAATAAGCTTAAAGAGTGCTCTTTGTCTAAGAGTGTGGCCATGCCTGAAAGAGTTAACCTCTGAGCCTGTTTAATTCTTCTTTAATTTGAAAATGAATTCCAAATCCTAATTGCTTTTCCGCCAAAACCACTGGAGCTGAACATTTCACTTGTGGCAGGCAAGGAAGCCTGTTGGCCATTCGGTTACATGGGAAAGAGAGCGGAAAGTTGAGATCACTGCTGGGCTCCATCCACTGACTAAACATTATTGAGCTGGGGGTCAACACCTCCCAGCTAGCACATTTGGTTCCTTGGAAGTTGTGGGAACGTACGTTTTTGATTTACCATTGGTTCTGGGAACGAAGCCATACATTTCCTGACCGGTAAAACTGAAAGTTTTTTAAATGTTCTGAGAACGGAAGTGAAAATGTAGTCTGTTCTGGGAATGTTCATTTTTAGGTTTCAGGGATGTTCTGAGAACATTTTACTACGGTACCCTGAAAGTTTTCCTGGGAGGTTTTATTCATGTTCTGAGAACAGAAATTATAGGTTATTTTGAGATTTTTTAAGAACTTCCTTAAAGCTTTCACTGAATGTTTCAATAAGACTTTTAATAACACTGCAAGCTTAGTTAGGGTTAACTGTTTTGAACTCCAAGCACAGATCGGACACATGGAAATTCATTTTCTTAGGTATTAATCATGAAAAAACACATTACTTTTTTATTGTGGCACGGCGCCAGTGCGATTCAAACCTATGATTTTCTGTTCTCTATCCATGGAATTAGTCCACTGCGCCACCAGGATGGTGCTAGCATGCCATGTTTTCTTTACTCATACAAAGCTGTCTATTCAAACAGACACTGAGAACAGAATAACATTCTTCGTAAAATTATTTGAACGTTACTAATGTTTTCTTGTGGTTTTTATGGAATGTTTTCTTAATGTTCTGAGAACATGAGGAAACCTGCAGAATACATTATGCTGAAGTATTGACATTTCCACAGAAGAACGTTGTTTCTTAATGTTCTATGAACTATTTGAGAACATTCCCAATGTCAAACTAGTTGGAGAAAGTTCCTAGAACATTACCAAAAATTCAAATAAATGTAACTATGTCTGAACTTTTAGGAAATGTTCTGTTAAAGTAATGAAATACCAAGAAAATAATATTATTTTGTCAAGTTCCTTAAATTTGCTGAGAATGTTCCAAAGCCAAGCAATCCTGCACCATTCCCAGAATGTTGTGGAAAGGTTGTATGCAAAATAACCATAGGACAAACACGCTCTCACCAAGCTCTAAGAAACATATGGTTTTCAGAACGTTATGTGCTAGCTGGGCTGCCTTCCAATTACAGATGAATTACAGATTACAGTAGCAATGCGAGGGTAAAATCACTTGGCAAGCCAAGCCAGGAAAAAAATGTCATATTACAACCTCTGTGTTGTGATAATTGCATTGTTTGCTCTATAACCTGTTAGTTCATATGCCTTTCCACCGTGATATATAGGCCTAAGGCCGAGACAATAGGAAGGCACAGTGGCAGAATTAATTCAACCACACCTTTGTTTTGTTTCATGAATTGTTAGATACTACTGCACTGTTGGAGCTAGGAACACAAGCATTTCACTACACCCACAATAACATCAGCTAAATATGTGTATGTGACCAATAACATTTGATTTAATACACCAGAGAGCAACATATGTCCGGTGAAGTCCACAAAACATATTGCATGTAACAAAAAGTTACATGACCTACAGCATGGTCAAGCAAATTGTTGGACTACTAAACAACTAACGCTATTGATTTAGAGTTAACGCAAGTCGCAAAGAAAACAGGCGCTTCCTCCACTATTCCAGCACCATTTCAACTTCAACATTTCAACATCATCTAATCACATATGCTTAGTCTAATACAGTGAAACCTAAAAGAACCAAAAACTATTTAGTCCAATCAACATAAGCTAAATATGATGTGTCTGTCCATGGTACTGATTTCTGTGTGTGTGTGTGTGTGTGTGTGTGTGTGCGTGCATGCAATTAGAAAAAACATGTTGACTCACCCTACTTGTAGAGAAACGTCAATGCCATCCTCCTCTTTCATGTTGCCTGAACGGTCTATGACTCTGTCATACAGCACACGCTTTTAGTTTTTGTCCTAGGCTACCTGGCTAAAATGCTTGCTTGCTAGCCTAACTTCCTTGGGCAACGATGTGCCAGGCCAGTTAGTTAACATTAGCCATCCAACTACATCTAGCTACATGTTAACTTCCATCCTCTCAGTCCAGGGTCACAATGTATGAATTTGTGGTTGGATCAGAATTGACGTTATAATTATTGGCCAGTACAGAGATTTAAGTAAAACTACAAGTCCAAATCCCTATCTCCATCCATGGCTAATTTAGGAAAGGGACGATTTTAGCTAGCTAGCTAGCTAGCCACCGGAGGACAACGACACAACGAGATGCAACGATTCAAGTTTTCTGTCAATGACGTTTGGCTTTTAATGTGATGTGACTGGTTTGAAGCCAAATCCACACTGGCTGCCCTTGACACTTTTTTGGGTGTGCCAGGACCATTCACAGCTTAGCTCTGTTTAGCTCAACGCTGATTGGCTATTATTATTGTTTTATTTTTTTAATCAAGGGAGGCCAAATGCTCACTGGCTTCCCTTTCATTCAATGCTACGGGCGGCAACAATATCATACTGTTTTTGACCAGACAGCATCAGATAGATGGACTACACATACAGAGACAGAGGGGCGGTGTTTTGTTCACTTGGTTGCTTTCTCCGGTGAGATGCATTCAGCCTCTTACGAATTGAAAGACATTTATGAAACACAGAGAGACGAAAGATACATTATTTTGTATGGTTTTTTTCTTGGTAATTTTTTTGGGGGAAGCCTAGCTTCCCTTGGCATCCATGAATACATGCCACTGGAGAGCGCGGAGGAGAGGAAAATGGGCAGAACGAGAGAGAGATGGACACAAGCATTATTTTATTTATTTATTATTGTCTCATTCACTTCGCTTTTTTTACCTGCACTGTTGGAGCTCAGAGCGTAAGAATTTCACTGTCCCTGCGATTACATCTGTGCATGTGATTAATAAACTCATCTAATCTAATCATCTAATCTAAAGCACAGATGCAGAAAGACAGCATGACAGGGATGGAAAGGGAGGGAGAGCGAAGACAAGGCAGGAAAGGGAAGAGGAGAAGAGAAGGAGGGTAAGAGGAGGATAATAACAGGCATTGAGAGAGGGACAGGGAAAGTAGAGTACAAGAGGGATTTGGAGAGGCAGTAGTGGGTGAGAGAATGCAGGAGGAGAAGTATGAGGCCGAGGAGGAGAGGTGAGAAGGAGAGGGATGTGGCAGTCACTCTGTCTGTGTGTCTGGGGACAGAGTGATAAAGGGGACACAAATCACTGTGGTCACACAGAGCTGGCTCTGGCACTACTAGCCCTCCCCGGGCTGTTAACAGACCACACTGCAGCTCCACCCAACACCATACACAACCCTGCCAAGCCCGGGAGGGACCAATAAAAA